GCCTGAAGGTCACAGGCAGAAATATACAAATTCTACACTGAAGAAGTTGGACAGGAACCTTTAAACAACAGCATCAAAAGCATCTGTTTAAGTAACGCCTTCCACTGAGTGCTTTGCTAGAAATGGTACAAAGTGAATTCAACAGACACAGTTCCTTTCCTCTTGGAAGACCTAAAACATTCCAATGACAACAACAGATATTTTATATTCATGTGAAGTGAGATAAATAGTACATGAACAAATAAATTAATGAACCTCCCGGACAAAAAACTTGATGAAAGGGATGCTTGCATTTATTGGTAAGAGAATAATCTGATGTATGTTACACCAGGGGAAAACCATGTTGCTTTTTTCTACCGATCAGAGAGATCGTGAAGAGATGAGATTTCAAAATTGAATAATCTCAAGAGATTCCTTGGTGAGTTAATAATAAATGGCTGTCCAGATATATAGAGAGGGGAGCATTCCAAATATAGTGTGAGACTTGAGGGGAGATGTAAGGATGGAAAAAGATGACTGCTTAAATGGATTTAAATACTTTTGCCTGGAAGCATATGATCCTGTTGAAAAATTAAGATGTGACTGACTAGGAAATTCTGAGAATGACATGATATGAGGCAATGTTCTGTTGAACTCTCCAGACCTGGCCTTCCTCAGGTCGTGTCCAGAGGCTGGGAAAAGTCTGACATCTTCTAGGAAGAACTTATTTGTTTTCACCTTGTTTCACGGTGTTTTTCAGCTGGTTTAAGTCAACTTGCTCCTTTATTCTTTTCTACAGTCTTCCCGTGTAGGCTTAGGGCAGGCATCCCCAAACTTTTTACACAGGGGGCCAGTTTACTGTCCCTCAGACTGTTGGAGGGCCGCCACATACTGTGCTCCTCTCACTGATCACCAAAGAAAGAGGTGCCCCTTCCTGAAGTGCGGCGGGGGGCCGGATAAATGGCCCCAGGGGGCCACATGTGGCCCGAGGGCCATACAAACTATGGGGACGCCTGGCTTAGGGTAATCTGACTACAAACCAGTAATAGGGATAGAGACTTAAGAAGGGACAACGCACAGTTGCTCTGTTTCTGGCAGGAGTGGTTCTAATGGGAGGTCTCACTGTGTGTGACCAGCTTGCCAAACCATGACCATCTGCAGTGGCTGTCGGGGACCCATGCCGGAAAGTTTGCCTGCACTTTCTTCCTCTTAGATTCTGCTTATCCTTGACCACTCTTGTAGCTGTCTGGAATTTCTTGTCAAAGAAATGACATTTTGTTTTCGTAAGGCTAAATTTGTTCCAGGGACTTTTTTTTTTCATCTTAAAAACATTGTGTCCCATGATTAAGTAAGGATAAAAAAAGATATGTGGGGAGGAAACCTAATTTCTTCCAAAATCTTTGAACCTGTCAGTTTAACTCAGCAGGAATAAAGAAATAAGCTGATTTGAAATGTGTTAACTAACTAGCTAAACACACACACACACACACACACACACACACACTCTCATATCTGTGTGGAAAAAAATTCAGGATTCCAATATATTATTTTTACTTCTAGCTATTCTGAATAGAGGTCAGGGAAACAAAAGTATTTGTTTATTTCTAAATATTCTAAGCAAACAGTTTGGTAGTGGTATTTGCTGCTTGGCTTCGTCCTGGCTTCTGACCTACTTATCAACCGTGTCTCTTTAGGCAAGTTACTCAGCCACAGTCTGTTTTACTTTCCTTTATTATAGATGGGAAGGGAGAAGGCTACATAATAGTACCTGTCTTAGACTGGCTATGTAGATTGAATTAATGCATGTAGAGAACTTGAAGAGTGCCTGACACCCACTAGTATTGAATAAACGTTAGCTAGGATTACGAACATTATTTCTATATAATGATTATGATTGAGATTGAGAAAGTATGAACCTAAAGGTAGCACTAAATTGAATTAGGCTTGGCCTAAGATTCTCAGGTGGTTGAGCTACAATTAGACGCCTTTGGCCAATCCTTTTTCAAGTATCAGAGCATCTTGGGAGGGTTAGCCCTGGGCAAAACTTCTGGTTCACCATGCTCCTTGAAGGCCTAGAGGCTGGGATGCCCTGAGAGGCCATATGAGAACGCTCAGGAAGGAGACATTTACTGTAGTCCTAGCCTAATCCTAAATTCTACTAATTCAGCCAGTGATCTTTTCTTTCTTTCTTTCTTTTTTTGAGACGGACTACTGCTCTTGTCACCCAGGCTAGAGTGCAATGGCACAATCTGAGTTCACCGCAGCCGCCTGCCAGGTTCAAGTGATTCTCCTGTCTCAGCCTCCTGAGTAGCTGGGATTACAGGCATGCACCACGCCTGGTTAATTTTGTATTTGTAGTAGAGATAGGGTTTCTCCATGTTGGTCAGGCTGGTCTCGAACTCCCGACCTCAGGTGATCTGCCCGCCTTGGCATCCCAAAGTGCTGGGATTACAGGTGTGAACCACCACGCCCGGTTAGCAAGTGATCTTTTCTAAGGGCACTCTAATATTCAAAATTCTCTGCATGTTCTTATACATTCTTTCTGGTAAACACTCTACATTTTGGGAGATTAGAATAATAATGTATACATGAATAAAGTGTAAAAGCATTTTTTCTCTAATTAAAAATGACATCCAAATAGTTCTTGAATTAGAACTACTAATTCCGTAATAATATTAATATTATTTTCTGCTAGAGAATGTTTTATAGACTAAAGTTAAAGAATTTAGCAAGTGGCCTTACACTTCCATTGGATTAATGGAAATCTCCACATGTTCGAGAAAATCCAAAAAATGTTACACACATTTCCATTGAAGTTTGTGGCAGTTTCTGGGTACAATCACATTGATATTACACATCTATAGATAGTTTACAGGTGACATAACTGTGGCTTTGGATTTAGTTGCCAACTTGTTACCCTGATAGTAAATCCAGACAGGGGAATACCAGAGTGAAGGGGCCTGCCTTCGTGTTACTGCTGCCTATAAAAACAAATAGGGTCCTTAGGGTTTAATTAGAGGACTTATAATTGCACCTGATGTTAAAATGGGAACTTTGGACATCTGGAAGATGAGTCTCGATTTGGTCACTTGCCTTTAGGAATTAAATTCATGGAATTGTGATGGTTCAAAAGAACAGTAGTGCTCCCACCTGGGTTTATGCAGAACCAGAAATGCCAAAGGTGAATGTGAGCTGGTCTGCAAAGCCGAGTAAGTCCGGAGAGAAAAATGGAGTTGGTTTTTACACTCACAAGTAATCCAGGATGATGACTGACTTCTTCAGCCTTAACATGAAAAGAAGTCATCTAAAATGAACAGATACATAAAAAGTTTGTTCTTACTTGGCAAAAACATGCATGGCTTCTGGAACTTGCAACTTTATAGGATGTCATTCGGCATCAGAGAACCATTTAAGAAAAGAATGACCCATGGTGACATGGGCTGGTTGGAAAGGGTCAGGAAAGGAACATATACAGCAAAAGGTACATAACAGCTTTCCCTAGAGAACACTGAGTGTCATTTTCTTCCTCTTGTCCCTCTTCTCCATCATCAAAGCCGAACAATTATATAGTTTGCATTTCACCCTGCCCAATGCATTACAAATGCCAAGAAGAGAGGTAGGACTGTTTCCATTTGTTTTCTTTCTCAAGCTATGAAAAGTTATTTGTTTGTTCCTTATATAGTTTTAGGAATACCTGTGAGAAAATTGCCTTTATTCTTTATAGCAGATTTCATAGAAAACAAGTTTTGTGTAGCTAAGGAAGAAAACTTCAGGCTTCTTGGAATATTTTCTATTTTCTCTCTCCATAAAAAGATAATTTCAATGTCCCTAAGTTACTAGGAATCTACTCTACATTGTGTAGCAAAAATTTAAATTATGTAATTTAGATTACTCCAGAGTAAAACTCCTTAAAAACTGAGAGCACGGCTTAAGTGTATGGTCTAGAGGCAAGAGTTAATGGCATGGAAAAGTAGTAAAAGGTTGGATTAGAAGGTTTAATACTTATGATCTCTCAGCCCATTGCAGTTTACTCACTCCTTAGGAGACACAGATGGGACACGGCAGGTGTGTGTAGGGAGTGAAGCAATTCATGAATACTCAGCCATGAAATAGAAAATCAAAATGAAATAAGTATGACTGTAACCATCTTGGTCTATTAACATTCAAATATTAATACCTACTGTTCTTTGAAAGCCATTACTGAATATTTACTGATAAGAAAAAATGATAGCTTAGGAAGAGGAAGATGTTCAGGAAAAGCATTTAAGCAGGGTTTGAAAGACTTGTGATTTTCTTAACTCAGGGCAGTAGTCAACCAATTAAAAGTACGTTTCCCATCCAAATGTTTCTTGTGCAAAAATGATCCCCCTTTCCCAAGGGATTTAATTTAGGATTCCTTGGAAAAAAATTCCAAAATGCATTACAACTACTCATAATGGTGACACATGGACCTATTTTTCCAAGGACTTTAATTTAATATTTGCATGCAATGGTATTTGACTTTGTTACTATAGACTATGTAAACTTAAAAAGAAAATACCTTAATTTGCTTATGCATAAGCCTATTAAAAACATTTCTAGGGGCTCTTGTTATGTTTATTCTCTAGAACATAGCTTATCTTTGAAGTGGTATAATAGTTTTTAAAAAGTCATTCCCAAGCTGAATAATTAAACTGAAAACAAAAGCTATTCTTAGGGTGGATTCCACATATAAAGCTATGCACATGACGCTTTGATTCAAATAATATACTTGTAAAACTCTGTTATTGTTTGAGTTCCATATTCAGAATGGCAACTTTTTTTTTTTTTGATGATTATTCCATCCTGAAACAATTTTCCCCCTGCCCAATTAAACCAGAATTAGGAGCACATTTATATCTGATGAGACTTAAGCTTCTCAACCGCCTGCTTCAGAAATGTAGACCTGTAGTGCTTGTGTTCATTTTGTCTCTTTGTGAAGGGCTCAAAAGAAAACAGAATCAATTCCCTTAAGGTTTTCTGGAAGAGGAAGGTTGCTTTTGTTGCTTAGATCTTAGCATGTTGTGCATTTTTTATTGGCTGTTGAATATAAAAAGCCACAGCCTCATCTGGTTTTTCTGCTATATTCTCATATTATAAATCACATAATGCCTTTCAATCTAAAGTAAAATGCCTAAATCCAAAATATCACTACAAAATGGATTTATCATTACAGTTGATAGGAAGATTTCCAGGGTGTAAGAAAACTATTCAGCAGTTTGATTAATATGCCACAGACTGCTAAAAATATATTCATGCATTTTAGACAATAACTTCCAGCATATAGACATACACTCATGCTATTTTAGATCCTTTTTTCCTACCATTGCAAGAGGCTGCTTTAGCTAATGCAACAGCTGGTTAGGTTATTGCTGCAACAATGTAATTCATAATGCAAAAGCAGCTCTCTTCCAAACATTTTAGAGCAACTCAAGTTGTTCACATCTTCTGTAGGTGATTTTCCTATAACTTTATGCCAATTGGTGTCATACTATTTGGTAAAAATCTACATTAAATCAAGACAACTGCATTTAGTTAAATTTCTCTCATACAGAGAATTACAGAAAAATTATAGTAGCTGATTTGAGCTCATCATCATTAAGTACATACAGGGTTTTAGAAAAGGAATGTAAACTACAAAAATGGAGTTGTATAATTAAACATTAAATAGTCCAAGTAGTAAAAATCATAGATTAATTGTCTTTCAGTTGTAGTCAGATCCTTTAAATACTGTCTCACGACTTGAGCATTGGTTCTTTCATCGGAAGAGTGCCTGTCCTTAAAGTTGGGAAATTTCAGCTCCTTTGGAGCACCAATCATCTGTAAAAAGTAATTGGCATCTTCTTCCAAAGTTTCAAATTTCCCTACAAAATCATAGTTGATCAAACATGGATAGCAGAGTTTGCTGACCTTTTCCCAGTGAATGTCCATTCCTACTGGACGGTGGGAATCCAGCAAATAGTGGATAAACTCTTTGAACTTGACTCCAGATCCATTAATTAATGCTTCCTCACAGGCATTTGGTCGATATTTCTTGATAATTGCCCTTCCGAATACTGGATGGTAATAACTATTGGGATGTTCAAATTTGTCCCTAAAGGCTGATACTAGTCTTTCCATGGGATCACGAACAAACACAGCTTTGGTGTAAGTATTTAAGCGGGTATATATCCCTTTTAAGTCAAAGCTGTCTAGCTTCTTCAAATGCTTTCCATAGTGGACAGCATCATGGGAGATGTTGTATGCAGAGGAAGCCAATCCATTTAGTACCATCAGAATTCTTTTCCAATTGGAACAGCCGGCCTTCGGAACCTCACAATATAAGATTTTGTGTTTATCCTCTACATAGATTCTGGACACTGTATTAGAAAGATGTGACTGATGACGACTCACCCCACCGTATTTTTTGCAAAACTCCTGAAGGAAAGACCTTCGTTTCTCTTGGGTCTCATCAGTTTTCTTCCATTTATTATCTTTGACTAAACTTTTGTTTAAAGGGTGAATGTCCACTGGCCAATTCATTTTGCTGAACTTGTTGAAAAGAGTCTTAGCTCCTTGATGTTCTTCAATCCACTTTTCTGTTGGTGACCCTGTGGTGTTACGTAAAGCTTGATCCCTTCCTTGTGAATGACTGGTCTTTGTTAAGACCCTAGTAGATCTCTCAGAATTGAGTAGAAGATTTTCCCTTTTTTCTCTTACATCCTCAGGCATGTGAAACTTGGGGTTCTGCTAAAATAAAGAAGGAGAAATGTTGAAAGCACAATTCACAAGTGTGGGTATATGCGGTAAGGAACTTAGCATATTTGTTTTAAAATACTATTGAGGAAAGCATATTTCATATAAGCTTCCAGAACAATTTAGCAGGGAATGCTGAATACACATTTTGTAGTGATCTTCTTCACAGAAAATGTAGCAATGAGAAATGATGTCTATAGGATAGAAAGGAAAGGGCCCTGGACTTTTGCCTTGGCTTTGCCTGTAATGCAGTAGAATGTAACTAAAACATTCTGAGCATCTAGGATTCTTGAGATATTAATAAGTGTGTCATCTTCAAGTACTGTTTTAGTTAGTGCACCTGAATGTAGATACAAAATGGAGCTGTTTTGAGATGCAAACTTTTGTTGTTTTTAGGGAGTACTCTGTAATGCACAGAATAGTTCAGAATCATACATTACAACTTAAAATTGTGGCAAGGCTAATTAAAAATCCTGATGACTGCTTCAGTTTTCTAAGTGCCTGCAAAAAGTCATATTTTTTTTCTGAGAAAATGTTTTATTTTTCTAAAGGTATTTATTACAATAATTTAAGAATTTATTATGATTTTATGATTATAGTATACAATCTCATTCACATATGAGACATTCCCTCTTTCCCAAGTAAAGAATGACTAAGGAATCCGGAAAAGTCTACTTGATGTCATGCTGGCAAGATAACTCTATTTTTATTATATCTTGATACATAAAATTGTATCAAGGTAGAATAAAAATAAGAGTTATCTTGCCAGCAGGATGAATGAGTCCATTTACCACGTACTGTTCATCTTACCTCATCCTTCCTACAACTCTCACAGTAAAAGAAGACATGGAAAATGGGATTTACAAGGTGGCATCCTCTGGGAGGGATGAGAATTTTAAGGACTTTGGCTTTTACTTTGGGTAAACTAGGGAACCTTTGTAGGGCTCTGGGCAGAAAAGTAACATGATTTCACTTAGACTTGAAAAGGATAGTGTGGAGATGACTGGACCAGAGGTATACATATAGGGTTGTCAGCATGTTATTGGAAAAGTAAATGAATAAATGCTGTGCTGTGGGCATAATACATGGTGTCATCAGCCTAGAGGTGGAGGGAGTGTTGGGGAAAGTGTCCGAGGGAATATAAACATGATTGCAAATATATATGTATATGATACACATAATTGCATATATACATATATATATACTATATATTTGTGTATGCACACACACAATTTTTAACGATTGTATCCTCTAATATGGTCTATAGCCTATAATAATTGCTCTCAAATGTTTGTGGAATGAATAAGTGAATGAATGAATGGAATTAGGTCTTCAAGGATAATTAGTAATTTTCTAGCAAATTAAGCAATAGAGCAGAGGAATGAAGCACTGTTGATGGAGCCACCTCCAGATACCATGGTTGTTCCACCAGCTGAGCTTGAAGGGGGCTGCTTTTATCTAGTGCAAGAGGACTATGTGAATAACCCCCTGAACACCAGATGCTGACTTGTCTAGGCCTGTGTATTAGTCTGTTCTCATGCTGCTAATAAAGACATACCCAAGACTGGGTAATTTATAAAGAAAAAGAGGTTTCATGAACTCACAGTTCCACATGGCTGGGGAGGCCTCACAATCATGGCAGAAGGTAAAGGAGAAGCAAAGTCATGTCCTATATGGTGGCAGGCAAGAAAGAGTATGTGCAGGGGAACTGCCCTTTATAAAACCATCAAATCTCATGAGACTTATTCACTATCATGTGAACAGCATGGGAAAAACTCATCACCATGGTTCAGTTACTTCCCACCTGGTCCCTCCCATGATGGGGATTATGAGAGCTACAAATCAAAATGAGATTTGGGTTGGAATACAGCCGAACCATATCACCCCTTGAAACAGCCACCCCAAATCTTCCATAGCATTGGACCATCTATTTGGAGTTTTAACTCTAAAACCATTTGTCTGCTATCTTCTCCAGAGACTGCCAGGATGACTTCAAAGCTCTGTATCCTTCTTTACTCTGATCAGTGATTTGTAGCACATAAAGTTGTTGCTGAAAAGATAAAATTTGACTGTGGTTTGAAAGATCATAGGGTTATGGGTACACATGCATAGAAAGTACTTAGCAGAGGCCAAATATAAAACTGCCATAATATTTTTACCATTACTTCTTCTGCTGTTACTATTATAAATAACTACTCTTATTGTTGTTTTAGCAGCAGTAGTAGTAGTTATAGTACTTTAATTCCAGGGACCTGTTAAATTCCAAGGTTCCCCACATGTTCATTATTATTCAGATGGTAATTTGCATATCTCTACATATGCCCTCACCAGTTCTCTTCTCTGCTTCTGATTGTCAAATCAGAAACAGAAACAAAATCCACCTTTTCCTGTGGCCTCTGGATCTTCTGCTTCGTGGCCATCAAATTCCCCTTTAATCTCCAGGGATTTCTGGAAGGTTTGTTTCCCAAGACTCTCTCTAAATGAAACCTGGCTGACTCTCAGCACTCTGTGTCTCTTGCACTTTCTCAAGTAGATGAAACGTCATATCCTTGAACTACTTGTCTCACCAGCCAGAAGCTAGGGAGTGATTTCCTGCAGCCCATGGCTGCTTCCAGGACAACACCCAGCAAAGTCTCCTGCTTCTGTGAAATCAGTGTGTCCTCCTTAAGTCTGCCTTTCCCCCTCCTGTTGTTGTCATCTGCCTTTACCACTGATTTGTTCACTTTACACACTCCAGCTTCTAACTCAGCTCCTTCATTACATTTAGTGACTTTGATATCCAATCAACTCTCAGTTCCTTGACCATCTTGTTTTTTTTTATCAGAGAAGCTCTCCATTTCACATCAGCCTTGGTCATCACCAGAGCCTGTATCATTCCCACCATCTCTCTGACCACCCTTGTCTAACTTTCCAGCTCAGGTTTGTTCCCTGCTTTGCAATTCTTTGACCACTTTTCACTGTTATCCAGGTCTTAACATCCAGCATGACTGGCTCTTCATTTGCCAGCTCTCAGTTGGAAAGTCACCTCTGTAGAGAGGTTATATCCACCCTGTCTAGGTTATTTCCTTCCCTTCCAAAATATTTCCTCCAGCACCCTGCTTGTTTTTCTCATAGCACTAATCAGAGTGAGAAATGATTTTATTTATTTACTTCTCTGTTGTCTTTTTTCACCCCACTCCACTTCCATTGCACTAGAATATAACTTCAGAGAGGCCTTATCTTTCTAGCTGTCTATAGTACCAAGTACAGTGCCTGGCACATAGAAGATGAACAATAAATAATTATTGAATAAGCAAATGTGCTTATAATTTAACAGTGGTCTTCTAAACAATTGTTTTATGACCTTGTTGAAGAAAATCAGCATTGATCAAAAGGTCAAATTAAACTTGGATAAACAATTGACCAACTCTTGTTAAGGCGATGAGAATCTGTGTTTAAATAAATCTTTGGCAAAAGAGAAAACAAATAAAATAGGCACATGGGAAACTGCTTGCAGTAAAGTAGATGTGGAGGCTTCAAGTCTAACCTACCTGCCAAATCAGATTGGTTCAAAGTCACTCAATGCTGTCTCCAAACCAATCGAGGACTTGACAGCAATCTGGATTCCCAGGCCTTACTATAGACACCCTGAATCAGAATTTGTAAGTGTGAGGACCCTGACTCTAATTTCAACAAGATCCCGAGGATGTACCTGGGATGTACATGGGAGAACCATGGCAGTCATAGCATTTGGGGACTACTGGACTAGAATATAAGAAAGGGAAGTATAAAAATAAGACATAAGCCCTGAAAAGTTTCTTTCATCCTATCCAGGGAAGAAAGACCTCAAATGTAGTGGACTTGAATATTTTAGTAAGAAGAGAAATAATTTGGATGTAGAGTAGGAATGTCACATGAGCTCTCATGTAGACTAGATGCAGTGTCCTTGTTTATCAATTTCTCTTTGCTGGAAGTCTTTGATCCCCAAGTAACTTTCTAATGACGAGTTTAGCTGGGGAAATAACTGCATGAGGAAAAGGCTCACTACTCATTATCAATTAGTCTCCTGCTAGTTTATTGAGTGCTAGTAAGTTTCCTCTAGTCTAACCAAATTGGGATATGGGAAAAGGGTTAATTCTCTAAAGTAATGGCACCAGCGCCCCACAACTGTGGCCACCAGATCTTCTCCTGGAACCCTCACTCAACGTCTTTCACCTTATAAAATCTGTTATTAGGGTTTGATGACATCCCTCCCAACCCCCACCCAACTCCATTTCTTTCCAATCACAGCAAAGACTGCAAGACTAAGGGGGTTGGATTACTAAAATCAAAGCTAATGACATTTCAAATTTAAAGCTTATACCAACAAATTCCCATCATCATTGTCATGATGATAACAACAATAATAAAGGAGTAAAATCTCACATCTCCATTTTCCCTGGGACACTTTATTCTGATTGTCCCTAAGGCAAACATGTATAATGAAGCTAAAATTATCCTGTTGCCCTCAAGAGTGGCTCCTCCTGTGTTCTTTTCCATTTCTGAAAAGGTCCTATTACTTTCCTGTCACCCACTCACAAAATCTGAGAGATGCTTTAACAATGGGAAAGCAAATTTGCTATTTTACATCTCATAATGTTTCTTTTTTTGTGTCTTCCTAAATTTATTACCTCTTAATTGGATATTCATTATCCTCCTAATTAGTCTCCCTGCAATTTTTACTAAATTAGTCTTCCCCAAACATTTGGTTTCTTATTTCTTAACATTTTGGACTGGATCCTCTGGTATCAGTGAAAGTCCCCATTCTTTTGCTGGCATTTGCGGCCTGGTGCTGCTGGGCCTCTTCTTCTCCTTTTTTGCTTTGCTTCTCTCTTAACACATGCCCTATCCTCCACTTGCTTTTATCTGAGCTCTCGGCAGCCCCCACTCATGGTATCTCTCTTCTTGGAACTTTCAGAATCTTCTAGTTTGATGTAAAAATCCTACTTTCTCAATGAAAACCATCCATGTCTCCA